ATAAAGTTTAAAATTTGATTAACCAATAAAATTTTTACTATATTACAAGATTATTTACAAAAATTAGCCAATTACAATGAAAATCTGTCATATTATGATTGGCTAGTAACAGTTTATAATTATATGATATACAAAAGATATGTTTAGAGTGTTCAGAATTATTCTACTAATATATTTTAGTATAATTCAAGCTTGCTAACATTATTATGCTAGCAGCAAAATTTAGTATAATTTATATTATTATTGAGATCTCTTCATTTAAAGTCTGAAAACACAGATAATATTATATTCTAATAGAAATATTATTTATTTTGCATATTTAAAATCCCGATTTCTAGATTCTAGTATGATGTATATTTGCTAATTACAGTGATTTAAAAAGTACACGTAGTAATTCAAAGTTTTTTTTTTAAAAAAAGTAAATAGCATAAAAAGCATAAATTAATACAATTAGTAAGCATAATTTGGCATCATTAGCAGCATAATTCTGAACCCTAGGCATGCCCATGGGCATGAGGACATGCCTCGACCTAAGGGCGTGCACAATTTTTTACCCGTGCCCTGAACCCTATTCATAACTCAACATTTGTCTATGAAACCACCTTACGCGACTAACAAAAAGCTTTCCTTGCGAAATTTGTGCTACTAGAGCTCTTTCTAACCTAACTTAATAGCAAACCTAACTCTAATCTAACAGCGAAATTCTTTTAGAGAAATTTTTTAGGTTGGTAACGCTAGATCAGTTTGTACAATACATTACATATCGATATAAATTTAGAAATTTTCCAAAATTAATTTGTCTATAAATATATTTTCATAAAAATAATTTGAAATACAAAAATATATATTAAATTTTATTTTTTTTTAAACTATTTAGGATAAAAATCTTTAAATTAAAGACCAAATTTAAAAATTAAATACTTAAATCGTGAAATTGCAGCAAATGCATCTCAAATGACTATCAGATAACCAATATTAAATGATTCAATAATTGACCTAAATTATTACTCTGACCCTAATCCTAACTCAGGCTGGGCGTATCTGACGCAAGGATGCATCTGAGGTATATGTACAAAATAAATATTCAAAAAATTTGTTATACATATATGTTTACTATACAGTCGTCCTCCTCTATAATCACGCGGTTTGTTTTACATAAAAAAGATGTGATTATAAAATTTTAATAGCATTGTGATTACTGTATATGAAGTTTTTTTTAATAAATAAATTGCCAATAATTTTTCAAAAAAATGGTGCTTATAAAGAGGGTGTGACTATATAGGAGGTGACTGAAGAGGAGGACGACTGTAGTTAATATTAAAAAAAATTAGCATACAGTTTGTAAAGCTATTATTTATTATGGTTTGCAAATTTTGCGAATCATTAAAAAAAGAAATCGATTGATTTCTTACATATTTTCTTAGACTAGACTTTAATACTTGTACGTACGTACGTACCTATATTTTCTGATCTTTACAGTATGATGTCAATAACCTCATACGTAATTATATGGAAATCGTCTAACAATTAAGTGATTTTTAATGATTGTGATTGTAAATTATCCAAATGAACTTGTGATGCTATCATGTGCTAAGCTAAGCCATATATATATATAGTATTTTTTAATCCAAGTTTCTTTTATATCACAAAAGCTGTAAAAAATAAGCCAAAGAATGATGAGAAACAGACTTACGCTATATATTTCTATTTAATTCGACAAAAAAGGTGAACAATGGTTTGTGGAGCTATTATTCATATAAACCCTGCTTTTCTAAAAAAAAAAAAACGTCTAAATCTGCATGATGACCTTATTAATGACAGTTGCCTATTGGATTAATATGCATAACTTAAAACCCTGAATTTAGATATTATTGGCTAACTGCCTAAAAACTAACTGCAGAGTTGTTTTTTTTAATTTAATTGGATGAAAAAGTTTTCATAAGTAAATAATCGTTCAATGATTAGTGCCAACTTTTCGATTAATAGATTTTTGGGTCATGTCAATTATACATGTGGTCAAAATTATTTCAACTTGTGTTGAACCATTATGGCTTATATCGTAACTAATTTCGAATACGTAAGCCGAAATGGTTTTGGCCACATGAATGATGTCAGTTAACCTAAAGAATTTAGACCGTTATTGGTTTTTTTTAAAATTTTATTATCTTTTTTTATTCTTTTATTTAGTTATTCAATAATTTTTACGCATATATATTTAGTCAGCTCTTTTTACCCTGTTATTTTATTTGTCATTTTTTATGTACTTATCTTTACCTATTATCAAAGTGGCAAGTCTGACAGGTTAATTTCCTAGCGATGGGTGTAATATTATCGGAGAATAATACGTATCATTGAGGAAAACACTGATAGATCATACGATCTATCATCAATGATACCTACGCATGTACATAAATGCTAATTCACAATGGAAGAATTCTCATATATCACTCTAATTAATAGTTTTTTTTTTCCGAAAACTGATAGCACATGTACAAATTTATGAATCATGCGCCACAATTTACCCTGTAATCGCAAAAACATAGTAGAAATTAAACTTTAGTATGACTGTTGAAATTTTAGAAAAATGTTTGGACTCTAATATAGATATAATTATGCACTATAATATATATAATGTAGGTAACTGAAGTTTAATAAAACAATGGATAGTCCATATCCATTTTTCAATAAACAAAGGTATATACTTATTTAAATATTGTCTTGTAAATTATTCCTTTTGAATTCAACTTGCAACTTTAATAACCGAATTATGACTTCGATACCGTCGGCTATTATCAATTTACTGAAGATTTGTGTATTACTTGTGAAAATATGGTATATTGAATAGAATATTTCTAGAAGAAACAAGATTGTTAAATTAAGTGATCATTTGCATTATACCAGTTCTTATCACCACTGGAGGTGGCTGATCACCTAATAGAAGCTATTCCATTTATTTTGTATAATGCTAGATTTTTTGATCAAAAAAATAGTAATAATAATTCCTGATCCGTTGGGAATTAGCGGAAACGAAGGTATCTTTACTGACTCAACGACTTTACATTTTCAAATTTTGCATATCATCAATTAAAAAATATATTTCAAATTGGTATAATTCGGTGATATATATATTAATATATATATATATTTATATATATTTATATATACCAATTTGAAATATATTTTCTAATTGGAGATTTTAAAATAGAATATAAATTTTGAAAACGTAAGTTTTTAAGAATGCATTAAAGATTGAAAGACTTTATATAATGAAAAATATTTTTACTATTCTTTTTCGTATCCTATCCGAAAGTTATTTGAATGTCTACTTGTTTCTCTGAATCCTCAAAAATTTTCTCACATAGTACATTGAGTAAAACTCTTGACCTTGTTTTCCAACATCCCCGGCTCTCCCTCTTGGCAATAGAGTATATATCATTTTTTTTAAAACTCGTATCTTATTTCATTAAAAACGCATAAATCGATCGACTATTAATAGGTTGTTGGTGAAGATAGAGGTAGTAGAGATGGAATATCTTCGTTTATCATTTTTCGATTGCAAAAATCCGCCAAGAAAAGCAAATATGCTAAAATGCTGGTGAAAAAGAAACTCTAATTTGATTAAGTGTTTGAGAACGCGAAATATTAAGAAAACATAAATGGTCGTAATTCGAATACTTCTTACTGACAATGAAATTTTCATTCTTTTCAAAAATTTAAATAATTATCAAACTATTAATTATTATCCGAACATGTAAATAACATCATTTATTTTATTTTTTAATATATATATGTGTATATATGGGTATATATGGGCTTGTGAAAAGGGACAAATTTGACAAAAAAATAATATACACAAATAAAACAAATTTCTCGTAAACTTTGATTATAATTAATTTTTTGTGAAAATTATTTTTTTGTCAAATTCATCCCTTTCTCAGCACCAAGTCCGTGTCTTACGAATATATTTTCAAAGGAAAAAACTTTTTTAAAAAATAAAATCTTCGAAACATTTTTCCTGTAAGTTATGTATTTCAAATATTATTGAAAAAAATTTTGTTATCGTACATAAATTATTCGAATATCAGTCTATAAGTGTTTTTAGATTTTTTGAATTTATACACTTACCGAAGTAATGGCATGGAGGTCATTCGAGGAACGCAATTTGAAAAGATTTAACCTAATTTGAACCATATTTTTATTTTTAAAAATCTTTGGCTAAATTAATTGCTAGCTTTCTTTACATTTTATGATTCAAAATAAGGTCCAGGAGCATTATTTTGCTCAAGTACGGGTAGCTGATTCTTAGGCGATGTTAGGGTAACAACATGGATAGTCAAAATCGAATCAGTTGGACTGCCAGAATCAGGTGAAATTGCTTTAACAGATTACGAAAGGTTACAAGAAGATATTATTCAAGATTTAGAAATTAAAGTTTAGAACTTTCTTCTGTTTGTTTCGTAAAGATTTTTATGGCACTAAAGCACGGGATTGAATCCTAACTAAGTAATTTTTCGAGCGAAAAAGCCTGAAATTTTATCTTAATAAGAATTTCAGGTACACTCATGTTCTTATTAAATAACTAAATTAATATGATTATTTACTGTACGTTCGTGAAGCAAATATAAAATTCCGTTACCTAAACGATCAATATACGAATAATACTTTATTTAAAACAAAGACAATTAGAAAAATTGATTCCATTTGCAATATCCTGAGTCAAAGTATTTTCATCTAAAACCTTTTTCTGTATGCATGAAAATTATATAGTATATTAGAAGTTTTAATACGTCTGTATGTACAGTAGATATAATATTGAGTAATAAATCATATTTATAGATCTGGTTTGGCGTTTCTTTCCTAATCTCTAATTCTGTGGAATTAACATGAGGTCATTCCGTTTGACTGAAGAAGATGTTCAGAACCTAATGAAAAAGTCTAAGGGCAAAACAAAAACACCCTGTAGTTTTATTCTTTATAAGAATAAACATAAGCTTAGTCCTATGGAAGCTCGTGAAGCATATAAAGATGAATCTCCTGAGATCAGAAGCAGTGTGTAGAATTGATTCGATTAAGTACCTCCAATTTCGAGCTGGCTTCTGAACTTTGCAAAGAGAAGTTTTTATTTGGTTCCTTATTTATTAATAAAAGTGTGGACTCAAACGGGCGAATTTCATCAATACAAGCACCACAGCAATCTTTCATGTCTCAAAATATGATTGAACACGTATAGACAACGTTGTCGTCGGCGAACCAAGATTACTTCACTTGAGTTTTAATATCGAACAGCTTCCTACGCCTGCGTTCACCATGTATCCTATCGATGTTGATTGTAATAATTTAAATGGTGGAATATTCAATGATACACCTACACGAAAAATCTTTAAGCCAATGTCACTCACGCGCCTTATAAATTTTCCAGAATTTGGAAGTTTACAGAGTTTACAGAATTTACATATGGGTATCCAAGAAATTGGGAAGAAGATTTACGTTGGAATCCCTCCAACCCAATCAATTACGTTGTAAAAAGTGTATTTCTGTATTTGAGTGCTGCAAAGCGAAAACCTGCAATTTCGGTTTTTGCCGGCTCCGCTTTTCAGAAACAGTGATGAATTATAATAAATTCTATAATAAATTCTATTTAATGAATCATGTGTCCGATAAGTCGTTTCTATAAAATTGATTTCGGAAAACTCACAATTGCAGGTTTTCCCTCATTTAATTATAATTATTGATAAATAGAGTTTGGAACCGGTTTTATATTAAAATCGATTAAAACCGGAATTAACATATGAAAACTGAGTCGAAATTTTTTGTGGTGCCAATCTATGGCGTATCTCGTTTAGTAAACATTGTATTCATGATATGCTATTTATTTATTTTTTTTTGGCATGTCCCGTCCCAATGTTCAAGATTGTACAAACTTTAATAATTAACAAATTTGTATTAAAAAAATTCCTGATTATATACTTTAGTTCTGAACCTTCTTAGTTGTACTGCAGTACAATATAGGTGGGCAGGTCCGATAATGGTCACGTGCACATAAATATTCCCACCGCTACATTATAGTTCACCCAGCCATACTGCATAACTGATAAGTATGTACGTACGTATGTAACTTTTTTATTTTGGTCAAAGTGTCCGAAAATGTCAAAAACTCGTACAAAGCCGTCCCGTGACAACTTTGGGTATAATGTGATGATTTAGTGCCAGTGTTGGCACGGGACAGCTTTGGACCAAATGGACATTTTGAATAAAAAAAAAAACAAATCTAAGTTACTCAAAATTTTATTAAGATAACCTATTTTAATCTTTTAAGCAAAAATATTCAGAACTGTAAAAAATATATAATCATATCTTTTTTAAACTAATTTATTAAATTTTAAATCCTAGATATTCTTTGGACAATTGTGGACACTGTGGACGTTTGGACGTGGACATAAAAGTCTTGGACATAGTGGACGTGACAACACTGAGTGCAAGCATCACCCGATTCTGTTATTCATGATTATCACGTAGGTACATGGGTAAATTAAAATTTTCGGAATTTGGTCAAGATGTGGCGTTACAAAATGTTTCTATTGGTATACAGCCAACTCTCTAGGTAGGACCATATCGATATGTAAAAATCAGCTTTATACACATGGAACCGGAAAAAAAAAACCTTGCACTCAAAATCTTATTAAGAATTGAACTTAAGAACATATGCACTGAGAGTCAAATGTTTATAAATTTTTAAACAAATGTTTTTTTTTAACCAAATTTTATTAACACGTACTGCAGGTCAGAAAAAACCCTTATTAGTGCTGAGCGTCATTAGTAATATATTTTCAATTCTAAAAACGGTAAATATAAATAAACTATTCGGGAATTTTTTAATATAATTTTCAAAAGTGTAACCAATGTGTGTTCGAAGATTTGAAACGGAAAAAATGTCAATATCCGAAAAACTTATAATTGTTACACGAAGAGCTACCAAAATCCGCTTCATTTTAAATGGAAAACTAGCGTTATTAAGGAAATTCACAGGCTAACATTTTCGGTTAACCGTTTGCGTCACGTACATATTTATATGCAAGGTTTATGATACATAAATCGCCGTGTTACATAATTTACATTCTTATACATTTATAATTTTGCCAACTTCCGTGACTGAAATAATGAAATAGAGAGGTCATTTGAGCTACGTACGTGCGTACATAGGAGGATCGCAGACGCTTCTCACGGATATATATTTATAAAGAAATCACAATCGAGATGTGTACAACAGATAATTATTACTTTCTCCATTTTTAGTGTGATTCGAATTTATCAATTAAAAACATTTAAACAAAAAGTCCCACGAATTAACTTTATTTCTTTCTAGTAGTAGTTAACCTAATTTCAGTAAGAAATGCCAACAGTAATCCGCCCTTTAAGTATAGTCGAACGACTTTATATTATGCGCCAAAATGTTCTACATAATCATAATCTCGCATTCGTAATAAAATTTAGATGGGATGAATTCTACAATATGAACTCAATTAGAAACTTTCATATTTCCGATTCTACCAAACCTTCTTTATACCCTAATATAAAAAACTTGAACACTGAATCAAAAAGATTGATTTTACAAATTCTTTATCCTACTCTCCAAACTCTTCTCACAAAACTTCCATCATTATCTGTCTCCATTAGAGATGCGAAATCATCTAATCCATTATTCTTACAACTTGATGAACTATATTTAACAAGTCTCATCAAATTTGTTCCTATTTCTTCCGAAAGTGATTTGGAAAAACTTATAGAGAGACAACACGATTTAAAATTCAGCATAGATGATGAGACGAAACCACTTTGGAGAATTGTGGTTGGCATCACCAATCTTCAAAAATCATCTGAAAGACCGGAATATGATTTTTGTATCTTATTCTGTTGGCATCACACTATCGTTGACGAAATAAGTTCCTTATCAATAAATAATTTATTCGTTGAAACACTCAATGAAATCTTCAAAAGATACAAATCAAATACATCAACAAAATTAAAGAAACTTCCGGATTCTTACACTCATGCTATACTTCCAATTCAAAGATCCCCTCAAAGCTGTGGTCTGATAGAACATGCAATTGACGTAAGACCAACTTTATGTAATTTTATAAGGAAAGGAATTAGCGAATTTTTAAAAAACTTTTTGTTTCGAGAATATCATTGTAAGATAGTTGATGTGAATTCTAGGAATATTCACTTTCATAACAAGGTTAAATTGGTTTCTTTAACCATAGAAGAGGTTAGAAAATTAAAAATGGCTGCCAAAGAACGTAACACCACAATTGATGCTGCTATACATACAGCTATTCTATTTTCCTCATATCATCATCTTCTTTCTTCATCTACTACCACTACCACCACTACTACTACCACTACCAACGATGAAACTTTCTTTCCATCATCCGGTAATTCCATAAAAACATTAACGCCTATTTTCCTTGGTTCATATACAAATCTACAAATTCCATGGACTGATATGGGTAACTACATAGCAGAATCTATATTTAAAATAACATTTCCAAAACCTTCATTCTTTCCGTTTCCACCACCATCACCAATATCAAATAATTCTTTTAAAATGAATAACACAAACATTTACTTTTGGAATCTTTGTCACAAATATCAAAATCAACTTAATTCAGATGTTTCAAAATTTAATAATAGAATGGGATTATGGGATTTACTTTCAAAAGATAAAATTTTAAAACAATTGATTAATTGTCAGAAGAAACTTGTTGGTGATGGTAAAATTTGTTCTATATTATATTCAAATTTAGATCAATTTAATTCTTCTCTTTATCCTCATGATGATATCCTTGAATCTCCTAGTACTAGTGCTCCTTCTATTAATTTTACACCTTCTTCTCCTGATTCTGATAATAATGATAGTTTAGTAGATGTAAATTTGGATGATCCGGATTCAAATGATTCAAATGGTTGGAAAGTTATAGATATGATATTTTCACAATCCATGTATTTGGTTGGGCCTGCACTTATCGTAAATTCTATTTTTCAAGGTCAGAAGATGAATTTATGTATAGTTTATCGGATTGGTAGTGTTGATGAAAAAAGTGTTGATTTGTTTGCTGAAGGTATATTAAATTGTTTAAGGATTGTTGGTGAACGTGGTGAAATCGATTTAGAAGAAGAAATATAATATTGTTAAATAAATATATAGATAAATTAACTAATAATATATAACTTATATATAAAAATAAATAAATAAAAAATAAAAAATAAACTAAATAAATCAAGTATCTAGTAAATAATTTAAAAATAATTATTAAATTTAACTTTGCGGAATCTTAATTTTTTCGATAGCGTCAAAATCTTCTAAATTTAGTATAAATTATTAATAATATAGGTCACTATTAACGAGGTTTTTTGACGAAGTACGAAAAATTAGTAATTTTCGTACTCCGTCAAAAAACTTCGTTAATACCTCGTTAATAGTGACTAAATTTGCGATTTACTATGAAAATTTCCTCTTAACGACCTATATTATTAATAATTTATACTAAATCTAGAATATTTTGACGTTATCGCAAAAAATTAAGATTTCCGCAAAGAAGGTAGGTTGGATGCAATTACAAAACTTATTTAGAACTTATAAAACACTTAAAAATCTATTTAATGAATACAGTATAAAAATTTAATTACCGTATTTCCCCAAAATAAACTACCCCTTTTTGGCAGAAAAATTACACGAAAATTTTGCGGGTAGCTTATTTTACGTACGTCTAAAATTAAATATCTCGATGAATACTTTCCAAATTACATGGAAATTTCAATATATATGCATTTTGATCTCCTGAACTACTTAGAAAGTCAAAGTTAGTTTACTTAGTAAAATTTTGACTTTTATATGTAGAAACGATTTAAAAAAACGGGGTAGCTTATTTTAGGGGGTGGCTTATTATGGGGAAAATACTATGATCGTACCAACAGAATAACTCGAGTTATTTTGATGATGATTGCATCATTATCAAATAACTCCGTTATTTGATGATGACGCAGTCATTATCAAAAGAACTCAAGTTATTCTGTTGGTTCGGTCGTCGTGAGATGCCGTTATTGAATGCTACTCAGCCAGATAATGAAATTATTTTACAAATAATTTCCGTTATTGGCTGCTTCGCATCCAATAACTATATATTATTTAACGTTGTCATTTAGCGAATCTAAAATTATGTTTGGTTCAACTCTAATGATATACACTTTATTAATACTCCGTCCCCCCAAAAAAGATGATAAAGTTTTATATTATAATAGTTTAAATCCTAGCATAAGCAAATCCCATCTTAAGCTACCACAAAACAGTTAACTACGTAATTTAAATAAAATTATTTATAACATGCGGTATTAAAGAATAATAAATAAAATACAATAAGATATACAGTAAGATAACTAAAACAATAAAATAGCTAAATAAATGAATAACTAAATAAATTGATAATCAAACGAGTTAACTATGTAGTTTTGTTCGGGCAGTGTAAAATTACTTGCTGTAAATGATAGAGGATTAAGCTAGATCAAAAAGCACAAATTCTGCAATTTTATCGCCAACAGACTCGAAGACGATTTCATCTCCCTGTTTAACTTCAGTAACAAATGCACCGTCACCTTGTCGCAATGTCGTGTTTCCATTAATTTTCAAGTTTCCACCAGTACTCGTAAGATGAATATAAGCTCTTCTAGGCTCTTTAATTCCTTGTACTGTATGCACGACCTTATGGCCTGGTTCCAATAAACTGGCATACATATGAAAATCTGTATTAATGCCAATAGTAGAGCTATCTTGATCAGCAACCGGAGAGATGATATGTACGAGGTTATTCGTCTTAGAGGCCTCGGGGAAGGTCATGGTTTGATATCTTGGCTGAAGTTTTGGATTGTCAGGTTTCACCCATATTTGAAGAAAATGAACAGGAAGGGTTGGATGAATATTGTATTCGGAATGTGTGATTCCTGTACCGGATGATGTGAATTGGACGTCACCAGCTTGGAGAATTTCAACGTTACCCATCGCTATGAACAAAATAGCAAAAGACAGATTAGAATTGAATATAAGTTCTCTCTCTCTCTTTTTTTTTTTTTACAAATGTTTTTCTCATGATTATTTACGTACAATCCTTATGTTGCAATTCACCAGAAATAATATACGAGAAAATTTCGAATTCTCGATGCGGGTGAGCTCCAAATCCGGTGGTAGGTTGCACTATGTCTTCATTGATCACTCTTAGGGATCCGAAACTTTGAAATTTATGATCAAAGTAGGATGCGAACGAGAATGTATGATGGGTATCAAGCCAACCATGATTCGCATATCCTTTAAAATTCAATATAGTGAATTTAATCAGTAAATTTTTTTTTTTAAAAAAAAAGTATTTGTTGTCATCCTCCTCCTATATAAACACATTAATTTTTTTTCAAGTTTGGATCAAATATAGGTGTGATTATAAAAAAGCCATAGTGATTATATTGAATGTGATTATATGGAGGGCTGACTGTACAAAATATCAAAGATTAACATGTACAAACCTCTATCTTCGGACTTTCTCACGACAATTTGAGCACTCATTTTTAACGAATCCAATTTTTTTTTATTTTTATTTGTTATTTTTTATTGATTTACAAACTTTTTGTTGGTTGACTAAAATTTCGCCGGGTATTTATACTTTTTCAAGATATGCGTATGTTACGCAGCTTTATGGATTTGTATGAGCAATCAATTATTAAACAAACATCTAGCAAATCAGAAATTAGTAATCATTAAAAACGGTGACACAGATTTCATAAATTATTAATAATCTGACTATTATAAAGCAACCGAAGCTTTGTGATTATTAAAAATATAATTAGTATACACATCGAAAGGATTTTGAATAGTCTAGAAAACTAGGGTATCTGTGCAACGTAGTCGCGCTTAAACCAGGAACGTAGTATGATTGCTACACTCGCATTAAGAATCCAAGTGTGAGACAAACTTTTTAATATTTATAAAAATATTATCGAATTATCTCATGGCATCTATGTTATAGTATTGTTCATATTGTTAATTGATTAAACTTGCGGTATACGTATAGGGAATTATTTTTTATACCCCCCAAATTTATTAACCATACCCCCTAAATTTAACTTTTTTAAAAACTTTAAGCAAGAATATCTCAGTAACTACCAAGTCAAATTCAATAAACTTTTCTCTTTTAAACTCTATAGATTCATACAATTCAAACAAAAAAAAGT